GATATGACTGAGTCCTACAAAATTAGAAAACAACAGTTTAAAGTTTTGTTGATTTACTCCAACAGGTAGCAAGTTGCCAATAATTAATTTGTGAGCCACGTATGAAGAATGGGTGGAGGAGAATCATTTCACATGTTTAATACACTGAAACATTTCGCACAGAAGAAAAAAAACTTTTACACATATCAATATGTCCAAGTACTATAAGTCATCACTGAATTTGTTTAGTAAGCTATTTGATAATAAAATAGGTTTTAAGGCCAGTAAACTTTGACTCAGTCTCAGCATTCACACATCATAAACCCTGCAGGCTGAGCAATAATTGACTTTTTTTTTTTAATGATCATAAGAGCTCTTTCACCTTTGGCTGTTTTCCTTTTCCTTAAGTACCATTTCTCTAAGATTTCCTTTCCATATTACTCAATCTTCATACATCATACATCCTAAGCATGGTGACTCCTAAGATCATCAGCGAATTTACCCGGAAAACTGTAGTAAGAGCAACCAACACATTCATTAAACCATACACTCACCATTTCTCCAACTTTGATCTCCTTTCTGGCAGAGCTCCAGTCACGGTTTTCTACGCTTATGCAAAGCCACGGGTTGGAGACTACTCATCTATGCTTTCTGTTATCAAAACCTCCCTTTCTCAAATTCTTAATCAGTATTTCCCATTTGCAGGAAGAATAGTTTCAAATCCTATAACTAATTTACCAGAGATTGTGTGTCACAACCAAGGTGTTGAACTCATTGAGGTCCATACCGATGTTGATCTAGCTAGCCTAGATTTTTATGATCTAAGACAATCTCTAGACAACCTCTTCGTCCCACTACCAGACGAGGCACCATTTCAAATGCAAGTTACTAGTTTTACATGTGGAGGTTTTTTGCTTTCATGGTGTATCGATCATATAGCTGCAGATGCTACAACCACTAACATGTTTCTGGTATCATGGGCACAAGTAGCTCGCAATGAACCAATCTCGAACTTCCCAGATCATCAAAAGTTGATTTTCCAGCCTCGGCGGCCTTCTATTTATAGTCCATTGCTTGACCAGACATTTAGCAAATGCACCAAGGAGATGTTCTTGAGCGCGCCAAATACCTATGATGTTTCTGTCAAGAGATTATACTTTGTTGAGGCCTCAGATATCCTTAACCTGCAAGAACTAGCAAACAAAAATGGGGAAAAGCGAACAAAACTTGAAGCCTTCTCCGCCTACATATGGAAGCTCGCTGCAACCACACTAGAGGAATCTGATACAGACTGTAACATGGGATGGTTGGTTGATGGTAGAGGAAGAATAATGTCCAAGGACGTAAAAAACTTAGTTGGAAATTTTGTGTCAATGGCAGTTGGAAAGACAAGTGTGGAAGAGCTGACACAAGGTTCAATCTCAGATATCGCTAATGCTGCGCATGAAGCAATTAGTAAGGTCAGTAATGAACAACATTTTCTGGAATTAAATGATTGGATCGAGTGTCACAAACCTGGGATGTTTTTAGCAAATATATTACTCGGAATCAGCGGACCTGCAGTGATGGTAACTTCTGCACGTTACTTCGCGTTAGACGACATGGACATAGGATTTGGTCCAGCTGTGATTGGAACTGTCTATTCAACGATACCAAGACTTGGTGCAGCCTATGTTAACCCTCAGCCTAGTCCCAAGGGAGATGGGTCATTGGTTGTGTTTGCTATGCTGTGGCCAAAACTGGCAGAGGCTTTGGAAATGGACCCAAATCATGTATTTAAACCTATCACTGCCATGCAAATTCCCACCAAAAAAGTAGCCAAGATGTAAATAACTTAATCATTCTGCATTTCTTCTATTAAAGTTTCTTTTCTTTGTTCCTTACATAGCTAAACAGGAGTGGAACACACACAATCACTTAAAATGCAACTTAATCTCTTAGTTAATTCTATATTTCTATTAACTCCATTGTAGTTCTACGACTTGCCCTAAATCTATATGGAATCCCTACAGTTCATTTCCATAGATGCATTAAATGTAATTATTCCTCGGTGGTTTGGATATAAATTGTCTTAATTAAGCTGATTCAACTATGCTCATAACAAGACAATAAATGGAGTGCACACTCAGCTGCACTGTTCTGGTTCTTTCTGCTTCTAAGCAAGAATGGTAGGCAAATGCACAAGTTTTGACGACAAAGAAAGGTGTTTAGTAATACAATAGTTAGGACACAAAATGTTTGAAAAAGACGTCAACTATCAACAAGCTGCTTTAGCAGAGACTTCAAAGTTTAATCCTCACGAGTCATTCAAAGTTTAATCCTCATAAGTCAGTCAAAGGGAGGTATAGTTACTGCTGGTCTTTATGCCCTTGTGTAGTAATATCTGGACTGGAGTCACTAGTACAATGATTTATTTCATCGACGGAGGGCATATTGGGCTGCAAAGAACCTGAGAAATTGGAGATACGTGATTTGTGGTTGAGTCTTCAGAAACTCTGGAAAGTACGTGGATGCATCCACAACCACATTGAAAAAGAAATTGGCCCATTGCCAGATGAAAATGATTGCTGCCTCAATTATCTATATTTATCCAGTGAAGGTATTATTGATAATTCAATAGGCAAGAGCACACAAGTGGTAGCCAATAATGCATATGAAGTACCCAGGTTGAAAGCAACTGCAAGTAGAGCAGATGAAGCCAAGCTAGACAAGCATATCCTCCTACTGTATTAGGTTGTTTAACTCATTTACTAGAGAGTTAGATCTTTCAACACTTATCCTTGCCTCCTAATCCGTGGGTAAAGCACTTACCAAAGAGAATATTTGCCTCACGTATAACTATATTGGACTGGAGACCCTACCCCCAGGATATGCCTGCCAGAAGTTAGGCGAGCAACTAAAGGCAATTATACATTTCTATTGTCGAGTAAGAAAAGACATCGACTGCTGAACTGATCTCATTAAAGAGAAAAGAATAGCATAAATACATTTTTATTGTCGAGTAAGAAAAGACATCGACTGCTGAACGGATCTCATTAAAGAGAAAAGAATAACATAGTAGATGCATACCAGCTACCTACCATGCTGGTCTCATTGGAGAGAAGAAAAACGAACCAGGCACATCTGCGACTAGACATCTATCTGACTTTCCAACTTTGCATAGAAAAATACAGAACAAGGCTTTTCAAAATTCTCCTAACTACTCTATCCCTCCTACCATGAGATACCGTACCCACCCATTCATATCATAAAAAGCTTGACGTTTCATTAAACATGTTGTATTCTCTAAATATTACTTTAATTTTCACTGATATTTGACGAGGAATTTGAGTGTGAGCATACTTGCTTAGGGAACTCCTGAAGCAAAATATTTAGTCGTTAACATGCAGAGGACGAAAATCAAGCCCAACATTCGCATCACTGCATATCAATCTAAGGGGAAAAAAAACATCAAACTATACCTTTACATTACTATGAAGAAGTTGAAATATGGAAGGTTTTTTTTTTGTACAAACCAAGTAATAGGGTTAGCTAGACTTTCACCTGTAAATCAAGGAAGGTTTGAAAAAACTTGTGGATACTAAAAATAAAGGAAGCGTTGAGCATTTCTCAACATGAATACTTAGTATACAAAGCTTACTATATAAGTTGTTTCACATTAATGCTAATAGAGCACATTTTGCAAAATTCAGTCCTATTTTCATGACAAAGAAACTACATTTGAGCTATCATGGGAATACCTACCAAGAGACAACCTGATGCAAAGCAAGTATCCTGTTTCTTTTATCTAGTGGTTGTCACTTTTGAGTAGAGAGATTGTGTTTCCTACAAATGTTACTTAGAAAAAATTTTACCCTAGAAATTAAGATAATTTGCAACTCAAGCTTCGGCCATGCTATCTACATCAAAACTAATATCCTTAAGCTACATTATTAGCCAACGGTTTCCTAATAAACTTTTGCGAAATTTTGTTGTGAATTGTGATACCAAAGACAGCCACGTTACCAAGTTACCAATTTTTGAACAGCAGATTGACTCCATAAACTGCTATAAGAGATTCAATAATTATAACAAACCAAACCGAAACTACTGAAAATAAATTACAACCGCCTTTATGGAAGCAAAACCTAATCACATTAGCCAAAAATCAAAATCCTTCCACAGTTATAAAACTCATTTTGAGTTCCCGAAAGATCTAAACTCAGAGTATATTTTCTGTAAGCTAGGAAACTGTCGAATATACTTGTATAAAGAACACAATTGAGTTACAAATATCCGTCTTAAATCAACAAGTTAACAAGATCTAACACAAAAAGTTCCATAATATCAATAAGATTCAAGATCAAAATCATAAGAACTTGAATCAGAAGAATCATCAAACTCAATAAATTTTACAGGAAAAAAATTACGAAGAACTAAAACCAAAAACATCAAAATCAATTTATCTAATGACTTAATCAAACAAGATCTCAGTAATCAATTTCATAATAATAAAATAAAATAAAATAAAACAAAATCAATCAATAAAATATACATATATTCAAATCTAATCATCTAAAACAAGATCTGACTTATTAAGTAAGACAAATAGAAGTTCCAAATAAAATTTTAATAAAACATCATTCAAATATTACTATTAATCAATAAATTTTATCTAGATCTGAGAAAACATAACAATCAGTAATCAAATTCAAATTATTAATTCCAAGATCTGACCTTTTTATCAACAAACACTCCTTTAAGCTGCTGCTTATTAAGTTGTTCAAACTCTTTCACTATAATCTCCGATTCAGTTGATGCAAGGCGGGATTTCAATTCGCTTTCTAGATCGAAATCAATCAAGCAAAGCCAAGCTTTGATTCCCGACCTGCACCAAGCGAATCAGAGACAGTAGTGAATTCACCAATCTCAAAGAAGAAGAAATAGATTAAAAGAGAAAATGTGTGTAGAAATCTGATAATAAAACCCTAATCGAGATAGTGTGAATAGAGGTAATTGAGATTCTGAAGAAGAAAGTTAGAAGGTTTGAGAGAAAAGAAAGGTGAAAGATGGGTATTTATAGTGGAAAGAACGAAAGAATTTGACTGCCGACTTTCTATTCCAGAATTGCTCTTGTGTTTGTGTTGTTTTTAGGGTGGATTTGAGATGACTGGGTTAAGTAATTAGAAATAAAAGTGTTTTTGGACTTTTTGGTACCTATCTTGGATAACACAAACAAACGCGCCTTTAATTTCAACAAACTATTTCTTTTGGGGGTGAATAAGTCCAAAAGTTGAAGAAAATGAGTGTCATGTGGGTTTGTCACATGGAATTAATGTTGGCTTTCACCAATATAAATTCAAACAAACAAAGTGATGAGATTTCATTTAAGGGATTATGTGGGTCAAACTTACTTCACCAAAAGAACAATAAACTAGTTTGATTATTTATAGACAATTCATCCATGTGTTTAGATGATTCATGTAAATGAATTAATGATGGTACTGTACTAGATTGTTTGGTAATGTCTTCTAATATATTTACAACTAGTAGGTTAACCTGAAGCTCGGGCCTAACAATCAACAAAGAAAGGAACAAAAATGTTTTAAGTTATGAGCGGAGAAAGAGCCACGTGGATAGTTGATAGGCTTCGGTGCTATAATTCATATAGATTTTATTTAATAGTAGAATAGAAAATTTGCGTGTATAGAGGGTGTTTATGGAAGGTGTGCATTTAGCTAGGTTTTACATTTCCTGTTATCAGAATAATTATCTTTCTTGGTTACATTTGGGTTGCAAGGAGCATAAATGTTAAATTCTAAACGAAGAAAAAACCACGTGATTAGGCTCCCCGTGCTACATTCCGTTCAGAGCCTCAGACTTTATTTAATAGTAAAAAAATGCATTTATGGAAGGTGCTTATGGAAGATGTGGGTTTATAAAATGTTTTTGGGTAGGTTTTACTATAATTAGTCATCTTCTAGGGGAAAGAACCACGTGCGCAGGCTCCCCGTGTTACATTCCGCATTTCCGTTCAGATTTTATTTAATATATAGTAAAATAATTGAATTTATAGAGGGTGCTTATGGAAAGTGGCGTTTTATAAAGTGTGTTTAGCTAGGTTTTACTGTAATCAGTACAAATATCTTTCTTGGTTACATTAGGGTTGCATGCTGCTGCAACTCTTTAACTGATACGAAATCTGACATGAAGCTGAGAAAGGTAAAAAGAGATGAAAAAGAGAATTTTAGCAACAAAGTTAGTCTGGGTGGAGAAATATATATCAATTTTTAATTTCCAAAGAAAAGTAACTTTATTCTGGTTGAAAGAATATGTCAATTTTATAGGTGTTGTGGGGAATTTTTTTGAAGAACAATGTGACTTT